CAAGAAAGAAGAGAAGTTATTTTTGACAATTGATTGATTTGGTGGGTGCATATTGCTGATAATGTGATTGGCCTTCCAGTCTGTTATTATTATCTTTGTAGCTTGCATGTTTATTGTGTAATGCGGTACATTACAAGGCTTTTCCTGATTGTTGCATTATCTGCAACACCTCAGTAAAGCCATTCCCGTCCCTTGCCGCCCCGTAACCAGTTGCATAAAATGGAAACAAATGCGCACTAAAAGAAACAATTAACCCTTTTCATGCCCGAATACCACAACCGGAGATATTGACGAAATAAGTTCGACGAACGCGATCCAACGGACACTCAAAAGCAAAAAAGAGGAGCGCACCACGGAATAAGAGAGCGCACGCACACACTCACTCACGACCATGTGTTGCCGACTGGGCAAAAAAACGGAAAACTTCACTGAGAAATGCAACGGAAATGCATGTTGATGACACATGCAGATCCGTTACACTCCCAGGCACCAACACCAACACTCGCAGAGAACTAATACCCATGGGGCGAGCAGAAAATCGCTGATGAAGTGGCAGCCGGCAATCAGCTGTGTCGGGCTGCCGAACACCATCGGCGACATCCTGAGCGCCGCACACACTCATAATGGTGAACACACATAAATACCCGGGAACACGTCACTTGACCGACACGGGAGCGCCCCAGGAGGCGCTCCAACGACCATTACGGGAACACGAAGTGTACACCCGAGAGACCGAGCGTCCATTTTGAAGCACCGAGATGAACTGAGCATAAGCAAGCGAGACCTACTGAGAGCGAGCGAGACAGACTGAGACAAAGCCAGCGAGACAGAGAGAGCGAAATAGACTAAATAAGAGCGAGCGAGACAGACTGAGAGTGAGCGAGCGAGACAGAGCGAGGGAAATAAATTAAACAAGAGCGAGCGAGACAGATTATATGAAACGATGAATAGAATTATATGCGAAGATGGAGGCGCTACAATTGAGACGACGTACATTATATATTTATTCATAACGAATTAAAATTATAATTAGAAAATGAACATGAAAGAAATACCGCATTATAAAAATTCGCATGCGACCGACACACCCCCTATTATAATAGCGAGTGACAAATACCCCGTTAAATTTAATCAATAAATTAACCGAAATTCGCTGGTGACGTCACGACCAATAAGCGAATTATAATAAAATTTGATTTCCGTCCGGATAGAAAAATAGATAAGAGTAGGGGTAGATCTTTCCCATCAATTAATGATAGCTATCTTAGTGGGGGGGGGGGTGAGAGAGGGTAAATAACGACGAAAGTAGGAGAGTTAAGGAGGGCGCTGTATCCTTCTAATTTACATACGGACCAATGATAAAATATTCGGAGGGCGCTACCGATATCCGAATTAGCATACCGACCAATAATAACATTTCTTCTCGGAAAGAGGAGAAGAAAAGCGATCTTTGACCGCGAAAAGCCGATTCTCGTCCATTTTGCCGTTGTTCTTCGAGCCAGAAGGAGTGCTGGTGTCCGATACTTTTGTCTCGTAGGATTAATTGCGCTAACCATTGTTCTCTCACGCTGATTTCGTTCGCCGAATCTCAGCAAGGAAAACCGTAAGTAGGCAAAGTGCCACTCATTAGTATTAATCGCGGAGTGCGGGAGTGGAATTTTCGGTGTAGTAGGTTGTCGTGACGCGTGGATCCGTCGATACCGGTGCCTACTAATTCGCGCTGACCTTTCCTCCATTTCGTAGAATCGAATGTGAGTGTTAAGATCGGACGAAGAAAACCAGTGATTAGTTGATTCGTGCTGACTTTTCGCTAGTAGTAATTTATCGCGGATATTGGGAGTATTCGAATTAAAATTCAAGATTTAGTTATTCGTGTTGACCTTTCATCAAGATTAGCTCTAAATTATTAGCTATTGCGAGTGTTAAGATCAGACGAAAGAAAAACAGTGATTAGTTAATTCGCGCTGACCTTTCGCCAATATAGTAGTTGTTGCGGATGTAGGCTTAGTCGAATATAATCGTTGATCCTATTAGTCGCGCTGACCTGTCCGCCATTTCGCAGAATCGAACGTGAGTGTTGGGATCAGACAAAGAAAACCAGTGGTTAAATTATTCGCGCTGACCTTTCCCCAAAATAGTAATTTATTGCGAATATTGGAAGTGGACGAATTGAAACCCGTGATTTAATTATTTGCGCTGACTCTTCCGCCATTTTCGTCAATTAAAGACCGACCGGAAGAATATTAGTTTCGATTATTTCGTGTCCTTGCTATTTCACATAATTATACAGAATCATACTGACCCTAATTAATCCGACCACCTGCTTATGCATTATAAAATAAGTCAATAAAAGTGATCAATTGTTCTTTATATAAATTTTACTTTTGTCACCCTGCCTTATTTGCATGCTGATTATTTTCAGCCGCTAGCGGTTATAATCGGGTAACGCTGATTCGTTATATTTTCGGTTCCCACGATAGGTGACATACGCGCGAATTCGAACGGACTTCCGACTTGAAATAAGGAGTCATCATCTGAGCTGCCGGCATATCTTAAGCGAGGAGACAAAGAGGAAACGAATTGTTGGACACCGAGGCCTGGAGTAGAGGAGATCGCGAGTACTCGCCCGTTTGTCCACCCGGCGCAGTCGCCGTGAAAGCAAACCGGGATACGCGACGACCTTTAGGCCCTATCCCCGACGATCGCCCTAGTCAAACTGCGGTGTGGCGCCCTAAATATCCGGGGGTAAAGAGCCGATAGGCGTTGTGGCGGAAGAAATTCGGTAACGCGGTTAAAACCCCCGAAATTCCCCGCCACAATTGATTCGTGATTAACTATTGGATAATGGTTGATCGATGATTTGATAATGATAGCAGTGCATCAATCAGCTTTATTATCTCAGATATCTTTATTTTTCAGTGAAATATGATAATTCAAAAATGATGTCTCGCCAATTTATACACCACACATACGTGACAGACTAACTTTGCCCCAAAAACTTGTTAATTTGTAACTCTATACATACGTATATAAGTATTCACTCAATCACTCTATGTCCTCTCTCTCTCTCTCTCCCTCTCACCGTCACTTACTCTCTTTCTCTCTTTCCTCCTCTTACCTCCAAGAGGGTGTAAAAGAAAGAATTTTATATGGGATAGCATGTGGGAAACGATTTCCCATGTGGTTTTTAATGTGGGTTATTACATGGACTTTTTGATATGGTTGATTTTTGAAATTTCAAAATGTCGAAATCAAGGTGGCTATTAAAATGTGATCCCAAATCCTAAGAGCTAAACTCCTAAACTCATAATAAAATTGAAATTAAATCTCCCTTTAATCTCCCTTAAATCTCAGCTCTACAGATGCAGTCTCCAAACTGCAAACTATCAAAATTCGCTTTTCTCAGGGTTTGATGGATTAACCTGCTTGTGATTTGGTAAGGGTTGTTTTCAGGAGTTATTAGGTCGATTAAGGGATATGTAGTTCCAATGAATTTTTACCGCATGTGATATGAAACTTAATCATTTCACGTAATACAAACGATAAAATTCGCGTTTCACTGAGTTTGATAGGTTAGCCTGCTTATGGCATGGTAGGGATTGTTTCTGCGGGGTAGGTAGGTTTAGGGATAGGTATTTATTTAGGTGCGCTAGAAGACTAGAAAGTAAATAATCATATAATTTCATATTTGGTTTAGAATTGATGTGTTTTTATTACCACGTGACTGGACAATGTAATATATATTTTTGCTCTTTAATTAATTGCGGAATATAATTAAGGGGTGATTTACACCACTAAAAAGCATATTTCAGAAAAATAAAAAATACGGGTTCAATATTGTTTAGTGTGCTATCGATGTTCAGTTACATTTTAATAGGTGTGTTATGTCGCGACTCCGCATCCGCGACATCTATTTATTCAAATTAATAAATTTTAATTAAGACGGTATGATCGAGATGTAATAAGTATATATAAATATATATGTATATATAATGACAGGACTTACCTGGGTTAGTCGTTATCAAAGGTATATTATTTCCAACTCTTGCTTTCGTTGATCTTATTAATCTCACTTAATTAAAGAAATCGGTACGCTCTTTTATACATTGACTTATTAGCCTACATTAATTAATCGAGTAATCAAGAAGTTAATATATTAGTGTTTTGATTTCCGGGTTGGAATTTTGCTGCGTTCGGTTAGTTTGACAATTTTGCTTTTTGTAAAAGGTGAAATACATTTTAGTGCTTACTTTACTACTTTGAGTTTGTTTGATTGCCGTTGACCTCAAAATAAGTAGAGTTTACATATGAGGACGTAAAAGGTGAATGACATTTGGGTAGCATTATTTGTTAGTCTGTCACGTACGTTATGTATGATGTATAAATTGGCGTGACCCTAGCTTTGAATTATCATATCTCACTGAAAAATAAAGATATCCAGATGATTTTAAATTCATTTTAAAGGAGAAGGTATATTCTTTGAAACGCATCTACTAATTTTTTGTAAACAAATTATCAGATGACGTTACATAACTTCAAATGTGCGTAAAAAGCTTGTTTTTTGCACTTTTAGGTTGGAATATCTCAAAAACTTGCGTTCAACGAGCTTTTTCATTGTCAGATTGGTTTTCAGCGACTCAAAATTTAAGCAAAATGACTATTCATTCTTAATCTACATCAGTCACGTCGGGTAGTGGAATTGATGGGTTAAAGTAGCATATATTTGCTAAAACAAAAAAAGCAATAGAACTTAAATATGTGTAAATCTATTGAAATTTTAGAGACATTTACCTAATTTATTCATATAAAATAATGTAATGATATGATTCAATATTTATAATACTCTAGCAATACTAGATATAGACAATTAAGATTGATTGTATATAAATTTAACCAAATAATACTAAATGATTATAAGTTATTTCGGTTATTTTATGTTATTTTTGTTATTTCGTAATTTATTTTATCTTTATTGTGTACAATTCTTTTACTTATTCCAGGCATCCAGCAGATAGAGATGATTTTGAAGCTACAGGTAATGAACTATGTACATCGCAGAAAGGAAAGCGAAATAATAATCAGTTAGAAATTGACGTATCTCATTCAACTCCACCTAAATTGCTCAATAGTACGAGTCCTAAATATCTCGGGAAACGTGACGAAGGATGGAAGGAAGTTGTACGAAAGTAAGGAATAGCAAATATATAAGTGAAAATAATCATATCAAATATCACTACCAATTTTAGATGCAAAATATTTAGTGGTAATAATAAAAACATTATTTTCAGAGGTCAGATAGAAGATTCTGCCAAATTTGTGAATGCGTCATTCCGTTCAAAAAAAGTTTCTGTACCTCCAAACGCTATTAGTAGAGTAATTGGTAGAGGAGGAAGCAATATAAATTCTATTCGTGCTGCTACTGGTGCTCACATTGAAATAGAAAAACAAAGTAAATCAATAGGAGAAAGAATCATTACTATAAAGTAAGCTTTACTATGTCATTCTAAGTTATATTTTGATCCACATAATATATTTTCTATGGTGACATCATTTGTCTTTGATAAACTGCATAAAAAAATAATTTTGTTTTGTAAGCTTGCTATCGGAATTTCAAATTATAACTTTTCAATCATACTATGATAGTTTATTGTTAAAAGAACTGTTTTTTTCTAAAAAGAAATTAAATTATATTTGGAGAGCTTCCAATTGATGGAACAATTCAAAGTACTGATATGATGTAGGGTTCAGAGACTAACTTTTTTTCTGTGACACTGAACTTACGCGTTTGGAGAATTATCGTATTGATCGTGCTCGAGCGTCGTGTCACTAATTATTTTAATGGGAAAGGTACGGGAGGCTCTTTCGTTCCACTAGAACGGTGACGATGGGCCTCTTCACGAAGTTGGCGTATTAAGTACTAACTCGAGAGGAAGGAAATGACGATAATCGATAACCTCGATAACTTTCAATCAAGTTTATTACTCAATAAGATTCACAATTATAAAGAGAGACGACGCGGATTTACGCGTCGTTCTCTGCGGCCGCGTGCTTTCGCTCATGCGGAAAAACGCACTTGAGCACGGTACAGTAGGTTGAGAGGAACTTAAAGGAGGGTCTCGCCGTTTTCACCGTGCTCACGGATGATCGCAAGCACCTCGCCGACGCGTCGCTCACTCGCGAATAAAAAGAGAGAGAGAGAGAGAGAGAGAGACGTCCTGACCTGACTAAGGCTGCTGGCAGGAACTGTTGCTGGAACTGCAGGTAGGTTGACAGCAGACTGAGATGAAATCCTTAATGTCTTGGGCGTTACTGGAAAATTTCTCCTGACCGCCATCTGCTCAGCGTCGTCTCGATCCTTTGTTTTTCGTTGCTAGACGATTCGGGTTCTTATGGCACGCACGCTATCGGCCGTCACGGTCAATCTTTTCCTCTCAAGTTCTCGGCTCAAACTCTTTCCGCAACCGTGTGCGTACCTGCTTGAGCAACGCCGGCGGTTTCGCTCTCGCGGGCGGATCGCCGCGGGTCACTCGCGCTCGCTCTTATTGTTACACGCGACGCATCTATTCCTTGCCGCAGCCGCTCTCGCTCCCAATTGTCTCCCAGTGACGATGCCCGGCACAGGTATTGGTCCTGAAATAAAGCGTTGCGAGCATCAGTATCGATTTTTGATTTTCACTACGCTCGCCAGGGCCACAGCGAAGAAGCGACCCGCGAACCGCGAGAGATAGAGAGAAAGAGAGAGAGAGGGAGAGAGCGAGCCAGACAGGGCCAACCATTTCGGCCGGGGCCCTGTCACAGTTCTTTCACGTATAATTTAAATTTTTTTAGAAAACTGATAGTTTAAGTAACAAGTAAAATTTATGATTTTTAACAAATTTTTAGGAATTTCTATTCAATTAAATAGATCTCACACATCCAATCAAAAGTTTATTAGGTTGCTGGAGCTTCGACGATTACAATAAGTATTCAACATAGTTAAACATTATATGAGTCGTAAAGTACTTCACTTTATATATATCGTAGACAGATGATATAGCCCAGTAATCAACTAACTTCCACGGAAGTTATCAGACTGTTGGTAAATAAAAAATAATATCATTGAAATAACGTTTCTTGTATCTGCTTCCTTTGTTCAGGTAGTCGGTCATCTGGTACTTGATTATCGGCAAATGAAAAGCTAAGTGCTATAAATTTTATTTAAATGACAGATAATTCCTGCAAATGCTTTATACGTGAATATTAAAGAATTTATTGTTTATAGAGTAATATAAAAATATCAACTAATATTTCCATTATTTACATTTACTCTATCGTAATATATAATATCTTTACTTTTTTTGTTTATACTGTGGCAAATCTACTCATCGAATAGTTTTATTTATTTTTTATATAACGGAACTTTGGTCAATACAATTATCGCAAACCGGTATAAATAAGCAGTACAGGTATAAATAATAAGTACAGGTTCAAATAAGCCGATTTATATAGGGCTTCGTGTTCTTAAATTATTGAAAACACTCATGTATGAGTTTTATTATGATTTTATGTTAAACTGCGTTGGTGCCTAAATATTAATTATTATATATCGATTCAAAGAGCTTTCTATATGAAATTAAAAATTTTGATATGTTTCAAATTATGAAAGAGGATATTTATAAGTTTGATACAACAGATTATTCTAAAAAGTAACAAGGTATAAAAATATATATTGTCAGATATAGTATCGATCATGAAGATTATAAACGATGCTTGAAGCAATTAGAGATTATCAAATGCCTACAATGTAATATACACAGTAATTTGTATATAGTTCAAACAGTTCGAGAACAGAAAGTTGCCTTGAGTCCTAATGATGACAAACGTTATATATATATATATATTCTAATTATCCAAATACTCTTTTTTAGGATTATTACAGAACATTCGAAATATCTCATCTCAAAAAGAGTTGCGTTATAACGAAGAGAAATAAAGATATCTAATATAGTTGTGGCAACGGAAAACGATCAAAATTTTTTTCTAAAAGCTTATTTTAAATATCGTGATAGAGATGTGCTGTTGAAAACATAGGATAGCAAAAGAGCTTAGATGTTCTTCAAGATATCGTTAGGTGTCGTTTAAAAGAAATTTTTTGCAGCGGGAGGAAATAATCATATATGTAAGAAACCATGGCTAGTGGTTTCTTATATACATGATATATAGTGCTGCAAACAGCGGTGACTTGAGATCTAGAAGTAAGGCAATACTTGTCAATGGAAAAAAGCTTGATAAAAGACAATAATGGATAGAGTATTGAAAACAGCTGCTCAATTTCACAAAGTGGAAATGCTTAACAACGAAACGAAGAGCTCTTCTTAAGTAGGCACGGTTGTTCAACAACAGTTCAAAGCAACAGTCCTTCCTCCTTCTTCCATACTCTCAAGTTATTTTAACTATAATTTATAAAGTATCTTCTATTGAATAGTGTTATTTTAATATTTTCTGATCAGTTATATTAAATTTATGGTTCCTTAATTGAGTTATTATTTGATTAATTGTTTTGGCGGTATTATAATAGTATATGGTATTATAATAGATTTCACTGTATTGCAAAAAGTAGTCAGAGTCTTTTCTACCTAAGAAAGCCACGTTTGATTTGGTAGATGTATCTCACTATAAAGTTACAAACGTTCGATCATTAAATATCAGGTACGAATTCAGGATGGTGCTGCTGATTGGTACTTTTCTTTAAGTACTGTTCTGTTTTGTTCTGTTTTATTGGCATCAGTGAAGCTTAATTTAACGCAAGCCCTCTATACTATGCGGCCATCAACTGACTTGTACACCCAACGTGAATTGAATCGCGACCCCCCTAGTTAGGTTGGTAGAGTGCTACTTTCAGTCCGTAACGGTGGTTTTCAGATCGGCCATAGTATAACGCTCGTTCTTAAATTATATAATTAAAATCTAAAATCAAATAATCATGCATCTAAATTCATTGTTCGGCAAACAATTAATTTTAAACCTAAAAACAAATTAGTAACGTTTTAGCTTTTTATCGTATCTTAAAACGAATTTTCATTTCTGAATTTTCCCGCGGTTTCTTCATTCCGATGCAACGACGGAATTCTCATACCAACCTAACTGGGGGGGGTCGCGATTCAATTCACGTTGGGTGTACACAGGCGCTCATGATTTCTGACTTGGCGGAGAGTTTGAAAGTGGAAAGTAAAGTAGAGTTCATGTACACTGAAAGAAGAAGAGAAGGCTAGTTATTGTTGTAGTTGTAAGTATATTGTAGAGTATTGTGTATTGTATGGGAGCTATACTGTAATATCGCATTTTTTTAGGAATTTACAAATGGCAGCTAGACAGTCATAGTTTAGGTTGTGTAAGAATTGTGTAATGGTGTAAGAAGGGTTTAGTTTGAATTTTGTAAGTTTGTGAAGTAGGGATTTGTGCTAGGTGTCGAAGTGGTTGCAGAACCAAAACTCGTAGTTAAGATCTTGTATGTTTTGGCCGCATGCGTAGAGATCAGAGTTGATTAAATTCTTTGTGTATAGGCTGTGGGTGAGGCTGCAGTGATTACTTCTCATTACTTCTCATTCTAACTGCTTCTATTCTTAGCAGTAGTAGTATATGAAACCATGGTTGGACGAGCTTTCGTAGTATAGATCAAAGTATAGCGTCCCTTTGTTTGTATCAGAGTTTATAAGAAGGTGTGGAATTTCTCTTTGCAGATATCATTGACTAGTTGATCGAAATCTGAATAAAGGAGGAGGTGGGTCGGTTTTATTCCAATACTTGTGACTTTTTTCACGAGATCTTTGGCAATTTCTTTGTCTGGAATGCCTAAGTGGCTTGGAATTCAAGTTAGAAGAATCTCTTGGTTGTTTTGTTCAATTTCTAAGGCGACATTTTTAATTTTGTAAATAGTGATGTAAGAGAAGTTTAACATGATGGATTCGTTAGATATATCGTCTGTATCGTGCTCAATGAATCTGTATATATCACAGATTTCGGAATATTTTTAAGGCGTATGTATTCGAGGGTGAGTTGAATGGCGTAGATTTCTGATAAGAAAATCGATACTTGAGCGTCGATTCGGAACTACAAGTTGAGATTTAGAGACGTAGGGCTATGTATGATGAGTCCTACATACAGGCGGGTGCCTTTTTTTGATCCAATAGTGAAGAACGGCGTGAGGATATCTTAAGATTGTATGATAAATTCTTGATTGTACGACTTTTATTTGAGTGTCTTTGTCTTAAATTGATCTTAAAGTTGTTTATTGGGCTTCTAGTGGAAGGAAGTAGCAAGGGAAATGGAGCATGAGTAAATTTTTTTTTTTACGATTTAAATTTTAGGTATGCAGTCAGTAGTGAGTAGTTATATAGATATTGCGGTGAGTTAGCCTTTATTGGGTACGTAGTTCTGAGATAGCTTCAATTGCAGAGTAATTTATTATTGCGAAGAAACAAAGAACGTAGTTTAAGTCGAGTTT